AGGCAGATAGCACGTCCGGGCATTATCCCGCAGCCAGATAAGAGCTCAGGCCCCTGACATTGTGCTGTTGCCAGGACTGTGACTACAGCTTCAAAGCCAGTGACACATCAGCTTTTGATCTGAGAATAGGCAAGGGCATCTGAAAACCACTGGTCAAAGTACAGATCACTCACATTTGTATGCTGAGCTGAAAGGTGGCACGCAGCTGCCACCCTGTCTCTGTGCATGCAGGAAAAACCCATGACCTGCCTCAGATGCATGCACACAGAAACAAGACAGATGATAAATATTGTAGGAAATACTTTGAGTGTCTGCAAACACGCAGATTTGAAGCGTGCTAACGACATTATCTCATGGACTCACACTACTGTTTTTGGAAATATTTATTCTCTGTAAACATTTCTTCGTGTTTGTTCATTCAAGCCAGGCAGTTACCTTAAACAGTGAGTAAACAGTGCACTGTATACCCAGTATGTTTGGTTAGATTTCATTTTCATCATGGCAAAAGCTAAGCTATGTGAGCTGTAATATATTACAGGCTACTTAAAGTGCTGTTTACTGCTGAATTAATCTCCTGTATGGTGGTTTAGTGCTGTTTGGTAAACTTCCTGTTTTCCTGTTCCTGAGGAAACAAGGAAGGGACATGAAATGGAAGAACATTTGATTAAATATCAAATTAAATACATTATAAAACATTCAGCATATAGTAAGTGGCATAAACATCAGGAACCGCTATATATATAAACGCCTTACACTTCATTAAAATTTTCTCTCTCAAGATATTTAAAATTAAGACATGGTGTAAGAGCAGTTCCAGAGATGACACACTGTTTATCACAGTGAAAAGAGAAAGACCAGAGGCTTTATTCACAAAGCTCCATAGAATAGGACTGTAGTCCAAGAAACCTTCACTTTCACTTAGGACGTAGGACAGAGGTAACAGAGGGGAAGACCAAAATGGAGTTGAGACGAGAGTCATAGGGAGGAGGCAGAGAGAGAGAGAGAGAGAGAGAGAGAGAGAGAGAGAGAAACACAATGAAGTAATATATGGTTCCTGACAGGAAGCAGGGAGATAGAGGGCGTAAGAGAAAAAAGTACCGCTGAGAAGGAAAGGAGGGAGCAGGCAAAACTAAACCTTACTGCAGCTTCTCTTCCTCAAGGTTCAAATTGATGATGCTTAGTCATGAATAATCTATCTGCTTGTTTAAGCTGAACTCAACCATCTTTAAAACACAAGTCTGGTGATATTTTTGTTACCGTCATCAAATCCCATGAAAAGACCAAAACCAACAATGAATTGACACAACTAACAAGAAGTGTTTATGTAGCCAAAGCCTGACATAGCTTATTCTTTTGTACAACAGAGGTCTGTTGTTTAAAAAGCAGAACACACACGCACGCACACACACACACATACATTATTGAGCCACACTGTTCTATTGGGTGACTGGCTCTTCATTACAATAAATCTGGCCAATGTAGTTTGTTTTAAGTAAATTCCTAATACACCGTCCTGCTGCTGTAAATGCTCATTAGAGCACCAAATGTACCCAACGCACACACTGTTTACTCCTGCTTGTGCCCAGCTGTTTCTGCCAACTGTTGAGCCTTTATGAAACAAAATCGTGTAAGCCATTTATAAAGATTGGCATCTGTGTTCAGTATATTGTGTAATGTGAGACAAATATATAAGTTGTACAGCTGCTGAACCACTGAAACCTTTTTGCAACTTTACAATCTAGCAGGACTAAATCAAAGGCGAATGTGTTTTCAGTTTAATAATGTATATAAATAGATAGAAAATGTCCCACAAACTGGACGACGGAAGACCTTCACAGTCCGTAATGTGAAAAAGAATATTCTGTTGTAGTTCTTTCTTAAGCATCTCCAGGCGCACCATTTTCACAAAAGTGTAAGGAACATTATATACAGCATGCCTTGAAGAAACATAGAATATAGATGATGTGATGCATAAAACAGAATGAGAGCAAGGCCATGTACAGCTGTGTCCAATGAGCCTTCATCACTGAGACCTTGGCAAAGCAGAAAACATTACATTCTTCTGTTCTTTCTTTCAGGGGAAATCAGTGTGTGACACAACATTTAACTTTGATGTCACAAGAAAAACTGATAATACAATTACAATATAATACAGTTGCAATATTAATATAATTACAACACAATTACTATATAATTAGATGAAAAGAAAGAAAAAAGAAATCAGGCTTTATAAAAGAATCATTAACGTGTGGTACTTCAAGTTGGGTTCAGAGTAGAATTATCTAATCATCTAATTAAATCCTTTTCTGCAAAGCTCCAAGTTCCCCGTATTTAACTATAACACTATGAACGTTAAATAATACATTATAATGTTGCAAGTTTAAGTACATTTGGGTTTTTTTTTTTTTTAATCCATTAAATGTTTGTGTGCTAGTTAAAATAGGAGACTTAAAGTGAATTGTTTTTCAGCCTTCTGACGATAAATATTTTCCAGATAGTCTAATGAGTTTATAAATGGTTTATTTGGTTGAAGAAATATAGTTTTATCATCCCATAAAAGACCACTGCATCATTTAGTGCATCTGAACAATTAAAAATCAACAAATCTGGAGATAAATGGTTTTTATTGGGCAATGATAAGGACAGTCATGTGCCAAGTGTGAGTGTGTGAAAGAAAACAAAATGTATTGTCTTTTCCCAGCATGTTGGCAGTGGTTTATGTTTTGTTGAAGCTGTTGAAGTTATTGAAGTCCTGTGAAACAAAAATGATAATATCCTGGTTCGCACATCCAGTGAGTAAACGCTTCTATCATTAGCCTTGTTGGCACTTATTACTGAACCATAGGTATCACATAATAATGCCACCTTTACTGTCATGAGGAATCAGTATCACACATAATGATATGTGTCATCTGTTATTATGCCAGTGAAAACAAATACAATGTAATATCCTGATGTGAGGTGAAGGGGAGGCTGTTTTGTCTGTGATCCTCATGGTGATTTTTAATGAGAATATCAACCCTGTAATAGGCAGTTGTTTATAATGTGGAGCTTCTCAACACACAAACACACACACACACACACACTCTAATCTCTGCTTCCTCACATACCATCATCATCATCATCACAGGAGTGATACTGTCACATGATTTCCCTGTATGTCCTCCCCACTTACACCTGTTCCCGTGGCAAGCACTTTTTCCCTGTGAGACCACACGGAGATTCATATAAACATGAAAGTGTGGGGTGAAAAAAACAAAATTAAATAGTTGGTATCCATTTGAAATGAATTTCCCACCCTCATTTCCTTTCCAGTTGCTTTCATCACCCCATTTCTCAAAGACATAGTGCCATCTAGTGTGCATTGCGGCTGGTTGCATGCCTGGGTTGCTTGTTGCAGTCATATTATTTATTCATGGGCAATGCGCAATGAGGTGAGACTTTTTCCCAGAGGCACATTTATTATTGTGTGAAAAGGCCTTTCAACATTTCCTCTTCTTTTGAAACTTTGGTCCTTTAAGCATCAGACATTTGAGGTATTTTAGGTTCATTGAATACTTTTATTTTATTCCCAGTGGATGTCTTTTAGCATTCTGTCTCAGTAGGGAGTTTTAGACATCTGCCAAGACTATTTGTTTGTTCTGGTTTTTGATATAAAAAAAACACTCAACATGCATTCACACTTATATCGGATATATAATGCGGAGTAGAACTGTAGAATATGGAATATTAAAGACATTATCAGTCATCTTAGGTACTTTTGCTAAAATAATGTGCAAATTGTTTATCTATTTTAAGATACATGGTGCTAATTCAATATTAACTTTATGAAAATGTGAGTTTGTCAGCAGTGTAATTCACCTATTTGCACAGACTCGGTTTTGCTGGCAGATCCTGAGAAAAACTGTGAATCTCTCACTAAACTTAATGTGTGAGGTTTAGTCAAACATTGCCAGTCAATCTCTTGCATTGAGTGCAGCCTTGACCCTCTGGGCAGTATCAGAGCTGCTGAAGTGCTTTGGCATCAGTGTGACAGGATTAACACATCAAAAGCAGTGTCGGGGCCTACAGCAGCGTCACACAGTCAGTACAGCACCTTTCATGTTCTGCTCAGGTTCACTACAATTTCACGTAAGCCAACAGCAAGTCAGACGGAAAAAGATAATGGGCCAACCTGCTGCTATCAGGCTTTCCCTCAGCTTCAGTGAAATATGTCAAATTCTGTGTGTTTGATGAAAGATTGGAGTTCAACAGGCTCAAGTCAGGAAACGATATCTGACTGTGTCACATGGCCGGGATGCAAAGGATCATTTAAGTCTGACATTCAAGCTGAAATTATTGCTGCAAGCCTGCGTGGTCTCACTTTTCATGATGCAAACCTTCAATAGTCGACATGAAAGGGAAATTAAATCCAAATAATTTTTTCGGAAGTCGGGGGTTGAGATGTCTCAGGAATCCCTTTAAGATAAGATAAGATAAAAATGTGGGTGGGGCAGTTTTATAATGAATTTACAAATGAGCTGCATCATGACAAACAGGTGTTAAAGAAGACTAAAGCTCAGTTAAGACACAGTTAATTCGACAAAATGCTAAATTTAAACCATACCATTTTTCATACACTGTATTCTCTTTCTGATGCTTTAACAAGGATATTATGGTAATGACTGATATTGTTGTAAGGCTTTGGGGGCTACAGCAACTTATCAGCTTATAAAAAGGCATTGGTCATAATGTGTGCTATCTTTTATTTATTTTCTTGCTTGGGAGAAATAATGTCTTATAAAACAAACTCCACATTGGTTGCAAATCTACATCCAGTTCATATTTGATCAGATTTTTTTTTTTTTTCTTTTCAGCAGCGGTACACTATGTACTGCATCAGCTGTTAACTTTAAGGCTGCGACTGCTACACTGTAACACAGACTTGACTTGTTTATACAAGGGTTTTGTTTTTTGTTTATTGTTTTTCCACCCGTGTAACAACCCCTGTCTTTGCTAAGGTGGTGGACATAAAAGAGAAACTGAAGCTGTCCAAGAAATTTTGGTCCAACCTGCCTGAGGCGATGTGCGTGGAGGACAGAGTGACCGCTGGAAATGCCAGCGATGAGGAGTGCTGGAATGGACACACCAAGGGCAGGTAAGGGGCGCCAGGGCCCGGGGCTTTAATGCAGTCCAGTACAAAAGGTTATTTATAATTCCAGCGTCTTTTCAAGTCGCCTAATGTTAATCAGTTTAATCCTAGAATTAAGGAGCAGATTTTGTGCTTTCCCTGTCTAAAACTCATTTTAAACTCAGAGCTTGACATACTTTTTGGTCCGACTCTACAACTAAACAGAACGGATGTGGTCTCTTGAATACCCAAGAGTTGATAATTTTGGTCCATGGATGCACTCCTATGGATATAGTATAATATTCGTTGATGCTATTTGCCATTTTTATCTGTTTCATTTTATTGAATTGTGTTTTCATTCTTCTTTAAAATGTGCTACCAGCATAGTCTTTCTGTTTCCTCTATTAATCTGATTTCATTTTCAACGCAAATGTTTGCATAAGAATTCCAGTTGCCTCCAGCCATCACTGAGGTTACATTTAACTGATGTGTGCTGCTTTCATGCATAACGTCAAATGTGTGATCAAAAGACATTCAGCAGTCATATTTTACATTCCTTAAATAACTTGTACAGCTAATACTCTAACTCTGTGAATTGGTGTTGTATCTGACAGTGACCAAAAAAGAAAGAAATCAGTCACGGAAATCAAATGTTGCCCCTTTTAAGATTTCCGAGGTATATACAATGGAGGGTGGCCTGGGCTTAGGGGAAACAAATGCTATTGTGTCCGACGATTTGCAGAATGCCCTCACGTGATATCCCTCTGATTATTTATCGCCAAGAATGCAGGCAGCTGACGTGTTTTCCCTGGAGAAATAGCTCACATGTACTGTATGTCAGAATGTTATACCCAACATGATTAGGTCAAATTTTCATTTTACCAACACTGCTTTGTCCTCAAAGAGCAATTTTCAAAGTGCTGCATGAGAATGAGACCCAAATCTCAACACAGCAAAATGTTTGTGTATTCAAGTCCACTCTTAACCTCCCTGTGGTCTTTCTTTTTCTGATATATTCTGATATGTGAATAGATAGTTTTCCTTTGTCCCCGCTGCCATTCAATTGTTTAATAGCAGATAGTATTTTAGTGTTGTGTGGGGATGGCTTATTGGCACAGACTGCTTGTTTGACTTCTGCACTTCCACCTTGATTCCGAAAGAACTCTTACATATTACCCTGGCCATGATGTCATATTGTTTGTTGGTGTCCATAAGTGTTAAGGGAAAATAAAGACTTTAATTTGGACTTTGAACTTTGATAATGAGAATTCATTGCACATCAGACAGCTCAGATAATGGGGTTGTCCAGTGTTGTGAATACTGACAAATGAACAATGGCTTTCTTTTTCTTTTAACAAGCACCTTGTCAAAACTAATAACGCCAATTTATTTATTTAATTTGTTGTATTTTTGAACTAAAAGGTACTTCCCTGAAGTCCAAAAGGATGGACTGACCAACCAGGTGAATAACCCTGAGGTGGGCGTGGACATCACCCGCCCAGACACTTTCATCCGCCAGCAGATCATGGCTCTGAGGGTGATGACCAACAAGCTGAAAAATGCCTACAACGGCAATGATATCTACTTTCAAGACTCAAGTAAGCCATTGCCATGGAGAGATACGTGACAACATGCAAGTGTTGTTTTTTTTTCTTTAGGCAGGAAATGTATTTTTAGTCTCGCCATCCCTGCCCGACTTGGTCAAGTTCATGCTCCAGCTTGTCACTCAGCTGTGCTTTGAAATGCTACCTGCAGCTGTAATCAGTATCAATAAAGCCACAAGATGCACTGAAGAAGAAAATAAATAACAAAGGCAGTCTGCAGCGAAAAACAAAAAAACAATGGCAATAACCGTAGTCTTCATCAAGGTATATGTGAAACACTGATGAAGACATTTATGGAAGGATTTGGAGGAGGAACATTAATTATATTCTCCTCAATTTAACTACATGCCAAAAGAGTGTACAGTCACATAAAGACAGAGTGGTATTATATGTACATATATCTATCTATCTAAATTCTATCTATCTATATATATCTATCTATATATATATTTATTTATTTTTGGTAAACCTCCATTAATTGGTTTTCTATAAATCCAGCAGATATAGTAGCAGTATTAACATTAACTTGGTGTCTTGATGTAGTCACTCTTCTTTTAGCTCTGTTTTAGGTCACCACTACCTCTTGAGAGAAACATCTGGCTGAATGCTCCGCTATTTTTTTCACCTAGTTGTTAACTTTGTCTGCCTGTCACTTGCTGAACCAAACTAGATAGCTTGTTGGCTGTAAAACCAAAACAATGAGCTAAAATACACTAAAATGCCCCACAGAGCTAAATGCAGACTCAGGTGATGATTCTCTGTAGGTTCATCTTGTCTCATAGTTCTGAGCCCATATAGTTATGACTCTATGACTCTTAATAGTTAGTTTTTTTTTTAAATCATTATTGCAGCTTTAACTTGAATGTGAAATAATATATTGCAGCCTTAAAGTGACAGTTTAGGATTGTGAAATATGGCTGAATTGTTGACTAATGCTACTCTGCTATTTCATTGGTGTGCTCAGCCTGGCTTGTGTTTTGTTATGGTGTTGCAGGCGACGAAGGCAGTGGCTCAGGCAGTGGCAGCGGCTGCACAGAGGTCTGCCCCACAGACATGGACGGTGCTGCCACCGAAGCCCCAGTGGTGAAAGCCGACCGGAGCGGGCCTGTGGGTTACTCTGCCCCGCTCCACGCACCCTCTGTAGCCCTGCCGACCGTGCTAGCCCTCTCAGCCCTGGCATTCCACCGACAATGGAGATAATGCTGGAGGAATGGGCCAAACATGGACAGCAGCAGGGTTTTTTTTTTTTTTTTTTGCAGTTTTTGTATTCAGGCAGATTGGAGCTACAGTCAAGCAGACAGTATTCAGGCTGCCAGCCTTGAGGCTAGAGGAGTCTGCTCTGAAAAAGAGAGCAGTCATGCATCATGATTTCCCACTTTCCCAAAGATCGTGCAGTGCCATCCTTAGACTTGATATTTTACGGCATCACTTCACCATCTAACACGGATGCTGACCCAACTCAACAAACTCTGCTTCAGAGATTGAAAAAAAAAGTATTTCTTGCACATATGGCAGGTATTAATGTAGGTAATGTGGAAAAATATAACACGCACTTTGATTGTTTTGATTTTTTTAAATGCAAAAATTGTTTGTGTGTTGAAAAATGTTGAGAATGTGGTTATTTGATGCACCTAAAAGAGGCACAATAAGTTTCATATATGTTTAATATTATATTTTAAAACAAAGACAAAGGATAATGATCTAAGTGACATAAAATTCAGGAACATGTAATTTCCATCTAAAGTTTTAATTGAATTTTTGTTCCACTGTTATTCACTCATGTGCCAATTATTGATTTTGAGGGAAGTGATTCGAAAATTCATCAGAAATGTCATGTTTTCATGCTTGTTTTTAGATCGAATGCAGACATTATAATCATGTTGCTTCATCTTATGATTTACAATAATTTCAACCATGGAATTTGGCAAGATTTTAGGTTAATTTTACCATGTGTTGGTTCATGGATCTGCTCTGCTCTTAGCTATCCATGAAACTGTTCAACAGCTGCCTTGTGCCACAACTCACAATATGTTAAAAGGGATAAGATTGACATTTTTATATACTCATTTGCCTTGTAACAAATTTATTATCTGCAAAAATGTTATCATATCGTGCTGGTTTCTCAGGCTCAGCTTCAAGAGTAGACAGCCTGGACAGAATTATTATGGAGCAGTTATTGTCGTACAGAGGCGACATACAGTACAGTAGTGACATCAGTGTGATGTTGGTTCTGTTGTGTTGTGGGGTGCATGAAATCAATTAATTCACGTCAGAGTGGGCTAAACGAATTCTAATCCTCACTGATATAAAATGATTGATTGATAATATATTTCTGTTTTTTTATGTCTCCATTATGTGACTGGTTACAGAGTGTTTCCACCTAACCACTGTAAAGCTTCAGTGACCTGCCTGCACAACCACTCAATAAGGAGATACTACTTTAAAAGATATTTAAATGGTTCTCAAACAAACTCCTTATAAAGGTAGTCCTACATAGTAATCAAAAACCATGACTTTGTCCTGTGCACTTTGTGTAAATAGACATTGCACTATTAAAAGCACAGCAATTCAATATAAAATTACCATCACTGAAGGAGGTCTTGTGCAGCTGTAATCTCTGCATTAATTTACAGTAATTGGGGCCTATGAAAGTTTTTCTGCTGCATCCTCAGAATACTCTACAAGTATTTCCAGAAAAAATGTTTGATAAATGCGTATGTGATTTAATAGTCAAAGCTTATTCTGTAACTGCTGTAACAATTTAGATAAAATAGTCATTAAAATGTGCATTGTAGCAACAAAAGTAAAATACTGTCAGACAGTATTAACAAGTCGAATTGTAAATCACAAAATTTTCAAAAAAAATAAATGATTACCACAGTTACGTAAAAGGTGAGGGAATTATTAAGAGAGGAAGCAGCAAACAGCACACAGTGGGTACTGGAAATGCAAAGAAAGAGTCCCTAAATTTATCTGCAAAGCTTGAATGGTTATGTCTGCTGCACAGACAGGCTTGAGGCCGACCACAGTCACCTGTGAAATGAGAATCTGTGGAGACTGGACAGGGCTGAACGCTTCAGTGAAGCTCCTCAGTAGAGCGTACTTACAGAGAATGTGAGAGGCCTGGCACTGCTGAGGGGGGCGGACAAAACCAGCCTGTATGTACGTCCACTGTTCTCTGAGAGCCCGTCAGCTCCATAACCACCAGGCCAGCTAAGCTTACATATCCACAGAATTAGCCTGTGTTATACCCTTCGCAGTATATCAATGAATATTTGTTGAGCTTTTCTTTGTTGCATTTAAGTCAGCGTTTGCATCCACATTGCAAGAACAAAAAATATAGACAAATCTGTCAAATGTGTCATTCAAAAGGATTCTTTATTATGAATATTGACCTTACAGGATGCCCTTTTTATGTTTTGTATCATTGAACTTTTAATGGTAATATTTTTGCAATAAAATATTGAAAATGGTTGTCTGGTCAGACAAATGATCTGAAAAATAGAATTAGCAGGAAACGCTATAAGTCAGCATTTTTTACAATCAATGCATTGCTGTATGAATTCAAATCCTGATGAGGTGAAGTCTGTTTGGAGTTTGAATATAATTTCAAACTGAGAGGGGATGAAGAACTAGATGAGCAAATATGCCTTACTGTTTTTCAGTGCAATTAAGATGATTGCATTTGTGTTTTGTTACTGTTCTTGAGAATAAATATTTATTAAAAACATTCCAATAGATTCGTATTTGTCGCGACTGTTGAAAAGAAATTGTTAAAGGTGCATATTGTGGAAAGAAAGTGCTGGAAATGAGGTCACACTTTGGTAAGCTGGCTAAACCAGTTTGAGTTCAAGTACATTTATTTTGATTGGCTTCAGTTGAAACTTGTAAGTTTCTATCAATATTTTTCAGTGGATAGTACAATTCAAATTATGGTCTAGTATGAAATTAGTCTTAACATCTAAAAGGTACAAGTGTCGTTCATTCACGATTAGTATTTTCCTCTTGCTTCAGGGTCGAGCTTACACAACATTGTAGACTGTCTGCTCCATCTCTCTTAGGTAGGTATGAGTACTGAAGTGCATTTCAGAACAACAGGTGAAATCTAGGCTTCCTCTGTGTACTTTCTATTTGTGAAGTCTGCTTTTATCAGAGGTTCAAAGCCACTGTTTCTTCGTTGACGCAGGTAGAGCACAAAGATAAGGAGAAGCACCAGGAGACCGATGAAGACTCCCCCCAGAGTGGAGCCCAGCACAAACACAGTGGGTCCTCCGTCTGCCTCTGTAAAGATGAAGCACAGGTGGAGATAAACATGGAAACCTTTTAGCAGCAGCAGCAGAAAAACAACATTTAAATGTAATCCAGTATGTTAAAATGGGATTTTTCAAATGTTTTCTCCTATATAACAAAGAGCAATTTAATAGGTTTGATGAAGCTGTGGACCAGCATCTATGATTCAACATTACTTAGCTATGAACTAATACTTCTGATTTCTAAACTAACTTTCTAGCCCATACTGTGGTTTGCAAAACAAAAACTTCTAAATTGTCAATTTGTCAAAACACTGAATTGCCCAACTAAAGCGGACAGTGCTATTAGCAAGTGTGTACTCTCAAGCTAAAGACCCAAAAAATGCAAAAGTAGGATGATTACAGCATTTTGTGCTTTGATGTAATGCGTCAACAAGACTTTAGTTCTTGCTGTAATTTGTCAATTTTCTTGTATATATTGGGGGGAAAAAAATGGACCTTTGTTGGACAATTACAGGCTGGCATCACTCAGTAGTCTTTCCCAGAGACTTGAGCAAAAGGAGAAGGAAATGACTTGATACCCTTCTAGTCTGATCTGAGGATGGAGGTTAATAAAGTTGAAGGAATAGTTTGATATCGTGGGGGAAACGATTATTTGCTTACTTGCCAAGAGTTAAATAAGAAGATGATACCATTCATGTTTGTTTCAGTAAATATAAAGCTACCACCAGCAGGCAGTTAGCTTCCAGGAAAAACACTGCATCTGGACAAGAAATAGTCATAACCCTCTACCTACACGAATGAGATAAAACATGTTCGTTAGTGAGCTTTAGGGGTGCTGGTTGGTGGATTTCATTACCTTAGGACAGAGCCAGGCTAGCTGTTTCATCCTGTTTCCAGGCTTTACGCTAAGCTAAGCTAAGCAAACTGACTGCTAGCTGTAGCTACATATTTACCGTATAGATCTGAGAGTGGAACCAATCTTCTCATCTAACCCTCAACAAGAATATCAAAATGTTCCAAATTCCCAGAATGTCAAACGATTCCTTTAAACTTGTTCTTTCTTTTAACACTTGCTCACCATCCAGGGCAACAGAGTAGGAATATCCCAGCTGATCAGACGTGATATAGATCTCCTCATTAGTGATCGGAGGGAAAAAGGGAACCATGTTGTAGTCCCTGTTGTGACCAATGGGGGCCATCTCATCTGGGAAGGTGGCATTGGATGGAATAAACCTCCTCATCCACTCGTCAAAAATAGCATCAGTGAAAGCGTGGAGCACCTGTAAAGTAAACAACCACAGGGACTTTAATAACATCAACTCTACCACACCATCCAGCATTTCAGTGTAAACCATGAAATCAGACTCTGACCAGAAAGATGGGGTCGTTGGCTGCAGAGTGGGACAAAGAGCTGGTTCCATTGAGCATGGAGTGCACGAGGTTGTGTAGATTGTTGACTGATTCATCCAGTTCTCCATCTGGCTTTTCATACCCTTCAAGAGCATTTCTGTAAGTTGCAAAGCACAAGGTTTGTTAAACTGTTGTCAACAAACTCTTAAAGCTAAGGTTTAAGAGGAATCTACAGGTATAGATTTAAAAGTATTATTGATGCTAAACAGTAGAATATACCTAAAACTAAAGGAGGAGTTGGTGAAGTAAGGAGGGCTGTCAAAGTCCCTGATTCCAAGACAGCTTCTGACATCATTCATGGTCGGCAGAGACATGTTACTTTGCTCCATCATCCCTCTCTGGATGAAACCCTCACTCGTGCCATTACAAAGAGTCACCAGGCGATTGTAGTCATCCAAACTGAGAGGGGAAAACAATTCAGGCATTAAAATGCTTCACTGATTTGTACCAATGAAAAACACAGTTATTTTCCCCACAATATTTAGTTCATTATACTCCAACCAATAATTATTTTGTTCTCTCCCTCCCCGCCGCCTTCAATATTTTGTGCAGACCTGTTACACACCACCCCCCATCTGGAGAATCTGGACTGGTTACTGATGAGAGAGGGGTTATCTGGGTTTCGGGCCCCCAGCAGAGAGTCGGTACAAACGTCACACTCACTCTGCCCTGTGGCAAAGTTCCAGTAAGGGATCGCAAAGTTCTCATTGCCAGTCAGTCTCTGCAGGGAACAGACACATTTTATTGATATTAGTTTACATTAGTATCAGAAATCTTTATTATGGTCAGAAACATGGGGTCATTCAAGAATTATAAGTATCATGCAGTTCCTCTGACTCTAAATTGCCCACCACAGCCCCCACCTATACGACAGTCAAGGTATGAGCGTTAAAGCTAATGCATGGATGATTGGATGGATGTGTTTCATCCTGATTTCCGTTGTTGAAAGCACATGATAAAACTTCTCTTAGGCAGGTTATCTGCTCCAGATATCAGACCCCTGATGTACCAATACCATAAAAATAGTCCAATTTAAGGGTTTGAAAATTAACTGCAAAAGAAACTATTATATAGAAAGTAATAATACAATGAAAAGATGATAACCCAGAAAGAGAGATAACATGTTTTTTTTTAAAGAGATGACACATACCTGTAGCTCTCTCTCCAAGCTCAGAAGATGATACCTGTGCCAGGTAATGAATGCTGGACCTTTGTGTGAGAAATCGATGGCTTTGAATGGGCGACCTGGACCTGCAGGGAAATTAAGTATCTCATGAGCTCCTCATGGCAATAATGTGCACAACACGCACTATATGTAAAATTATTATTAATGATTTTTAATTAATGTATGAGTAAACAAATGTAAACAAAACCAAGTTATTGTGAAGAACTGAAAACATTAGAGGCACAGTTTGTTTACAACAGTATTGTTTGTAAACACATTAAGAACAGGTCCATATTTTCAACTATAATAAACTAAGAATTGGCACAAAATGTATGGATTCAATTAAAATTTAAGTAAAACGTAACGATTATGAATTTGAATATGCCACAAACTGATAAAAAAGAAATATATATATATATATATATATATATATATATGGTTTTGAGCTTTAATTTGCATAAAATAGTTAGAAAAAAAAGTCTACTCATATAATTTTATCTAAAAACATCTGGACCAATTTTAAAGTATGGCTATAAAAAGTAATACCAGTGGAAAAAAAGATGGATCTCCTATGTGAAAGCTAATTTGAATAGATTTTTACAGTTAACTCATTCCGACTTTATATTCCTAATATTTCTATTATTATTATGTTCCCATTAAACTCAATCAGCCATATCATATAAACTAATGGTTTTATGTCAAGAAATGTGACCATGCTCATATACCAAGAAGAGTGTCTCGGACTGAGTAGTAATGTTGCCACACAAAGAAGTCATAGATGGAGATGTTGGCAATCTGTGGCTCGGTTCCATTTGGTCCCAGGAGTCCCAGCCAGTGCTGGGTGGCAATAACGTAGTCTGGGTGGAGGGTGGTCTTAGCCAGCTCCAGAGCATTCAGGAACTCCTGGAGCTCTTCAGGGGTCAGGGAGTGGATGTTCTTCCTCACCACAGGAGCTTTCCTCTGGTCACAGTTTTGCCCGGTCCAGCCAAATTTACACTGGCCACAGTCATAACCTGCAAAGTTCCCTGTAACACAGAGGGCAAACTAAACATCAAATCACAGGTAATTTGTGTTGATTTTAATGATGATATAATTGAATCTACCTCTTCTTCAGCTGGTCACTGACAGTATCTTAATAAAACTATACAGCACTCACCAGTACACCTGCAAGTCTGGTTGAAGAATTTGGTCGGCCACCTCTCTCTGTCATCAACATTTCTCAGTCTGTATGGTCCTCCCCAGGGTTTGCTGTCGACTCGAACTGCAGAGCAGATTCCTCTCCCCGACAGAGAGCCACACACATTGGCAGGATCTGAGCCCAGAGCAGGGCAGCACTGCTTGGACAGGATGCCCTCCACTGTGCAGCACACTCGAGGAAACTGAGCCTCTGCAGGCTCAGGCCAAAGGAGTAAACAAAGAAGACCAAGACCCAGGGCGTTCATCATATTTCACCTGTCTGTTTTCTCCTGGTGACTAATCAGTTTGTAGATCAACTTTCTTCTACAGTCAATTAGTTTCCCCAGAGGAGCATAGAATCTCACTCTGCCACGGTCCCCCGTTGTGTATCTTCAAATTAGATCCAGTGATAGTTTTAACACCAGTGGAAACAACACTTAGACCCAGATCATGTTGTGTTCCAGTTGGTTACACGCACATTAAGACAGTCTGTAATTTCTCTTCTTGCTTTTGTAGAGCTGAGAGGGGATTAGACCATAGGTCTTGTGATGATCACCTGACAACAGAGCTGTGAGCTAGGCTAAGATCTGGATGCCTGCCTGTACTGCCAGAAGGGACTATAAAGTGTTTCATAGCTTCTCTGTACCAAAAGACTAAACCATGCCTCATTTCACTTTACATAACTCAAAGTATATCAGACAAGAATCAGATAAATACATCAGATTTGCCTCCAACGGAACAGATTGTAGACATTTGATCAAATATAAAATAAAATACCTATCAATGTGTGGAAAACAAAAGACTTAGGATTTAGGATTTAGATTTAAGTTTTAGGAATAATTCAGGTGAGAAAATTGAAATAGAAACATTGTAAATCAACTGATTTGTTGAGCCATTCTGATCTATAGCACATGATGACTCTTTACTCTTTACAATATTATTTAGCACTTGGCCACAGTGGCAAGGAAAAACTGTAGCTCTGTTGTGTAAACTTTGACTAATCACTTTCATCCTGCTAGACGTGACAGTTTTCATAAATTCTCCGAGCCTGTTATCAGGATGGGTCTGTTCTCGGCTTCCTGTGGCAACTGTTCAGCCCGGTCTCAGCTGACACCCTTTGCTGTGCATGTGAGGGAGAGAAAGAGCAGCTGTAGTTGTTGTAATTGTAGGCCTCTGTATTCTTGTTTAAATAATTGTATTCTTATCTTTCACACACTAACAGTCCTGTAATGTGTCTGTGATTTTTTATCTAAACAAAACTAGCATCACCACCAATGTAGAAATACCCTGTTACACTTTGATGTGTCAGCTGGTAAAGGTGGGACTCATTTTCATTAATATGAGTATGCTAATGCTGGATAGTGTGTGAACTTTTAACCCCCATATTTAATTTTTTTGAATATATTTTATATGATGAATCTGACTCTACAGAGTAACTAGTGACCAATGTTATATAAATATAGTAGTGTAAAAAGTATTTATTTCTGAACTGTAGTGGAGTAAAGAAGTAATAAGGAAATACTCAACTAAAGTACCTCAGAAGTGTACTAAAATACAGTACTTGAGTAAATGTACTTAGTTTCCATCACTGCTCAACTTTTGTTCCAAACTAACTTAAAACCCAGTCTGCACAACCACTAACATTACAGTGCAACCTTAATGAAAGTTTCACATCAATTGAAGCAGATTTTCTTAAGAAATGGCCAGCAGTAATAAAACTGGGAGAACAGAGAACGTTTATTTTCACTGAAAAAGACTGAACCACAAAAATGCCCCAAAGGCAGAAGAGCCTTCCTTTGTTTACGATTGATCACAATCTGAGTCCAACAGCCTCAAAGACTTAACTGATATTGAGGTTGAATGACTGGATCTCACATGACCAGTTGTCTCATTCATCACTGGCAGCAACTCAGTTTTGAAACTGAATTTAAGGAGGCAGACATGAAGGGAAAACATTATTTTTTTGGATCTCCTCTGTTCTATTGTTACGTGTAAGCATTTTATATTTTGTAATTTTTTATTTCGTACTTTTTGCTGCCCCTTACAAAACAAATTTCCTTTCTGAACAATAAAGTTGACTTGAACTGCAGCCACAGGAGGCAGGAGGAGGAGAAATCAATGATGAACTAAATTCTGTTGATTAAAAAGATTTTTTTAAACGAAAAAAACACATGTTATTTCTTTCTCATTCCTTTTCACACATTCACACTTGAGCATCCACGAGGTTGCACTTGTGACTGGAAACAAAACAATCATTTGCTGTTGTGTTTTCCTCAGACGTCATTACAGATGCTGATCTTTTCGATCTGTTTCTCATTCAACTTTAGAAATAGAAATGATGCAGTCAAACATTTCTTAAGCAGCCTTTGTTCTGAAGCGGTAACTCTATATCCATCAAAAACACTTTGCAATGAGAGAAAACCTTGACGCTTAGATTTGTCTGTTTGACCCACACTCCTGACACATTCCAGTTGCCTGGCATGTGACTGCTGACCGTTTAAGTACATGTAGTATTTAGAGTTAAGAGGAGTCTGTATTCCCCCACACTGAAGAGAACATTGTGGAATGTTTTCCAGAGGTATCATTATCGATACAATTAAGAGGAAATAAATAAGTAAAAGTGAATTTAGTCTGAAAACATCATCTCTTCCTTATCATCATCATAATTTATCAGACAGCATGCTACATGTTATATATCACAAGATGAAAACAGGATAAAGCATGATATCCACATACTGTATGTTCAAGTCCAAAATTTCAATATCAACAAATATTCATTCATGGATTTGGTGATCATATTCCTGTGAAAGTGACAGATTTTAAATCAGTGTCCAAGTCCAACATACAGGATCTTTAAAGTGGTAAAGTATCAGATAAACATGAGTCCGGACTTGGAGCAGACATAAACATGGCCCTATGAGAAAATCCATGTGTGACCACTGAGTCCTTTACACAACAGGGCCTATTAGGTTCACTGCACTCAACAGGATTAGCAAGAATTCCTGGAAGTCAAATGGAATGTCCTATAGAAAGTATTTCACATTTATTTCAGTAAATAAGTTTGCAAGCATGTAAGTGAGAAAAAAAAACAAAACTTGGTGACAAGCCTGAATGTAACCACTAATTTCATTGTTGTTCACCATAGTCATGGCTTATCATGTGAGGGAAAAGATGCTGTTTTGCATGCAAAGAGCGTAATCGATTTCAAAGCAGCACATAGACTCAAATCAAATCAAAGACAAGATAAAATCAAATACTATCAAGTGAAAAATACCTACTTAAAGACAGATTTAGAGAAATGAAAAAAAAATACAAGTAAATGTGCAAAAAGCAACTTCAACATGAACTCACACATGCATTACATTTTTGTGTGTGTTGGACTTGATTTTTAGGATTTTATATTATTAAAATTGTTTTGACACTTTATGAATCTATCGAACTTTTCCACACAACGCTGAACAGAACCATGCAGCTGTCGGACTGGCTGAAATGTAAACTGCACTGTGATACTGAAAAGCAGCAACACAGACATCAGTGTCTTGTTAAATTCCTTCAACAAAATATTATTCTTTCTTTTATTATCTTTCAGCTATTTTAATTCTGTTATTTGGACTAACTACTGGAAATCAACCCAAAACTGAATGTGTGAATGTGTAAATAAACAGAATCCATTATTCCTTCCGAAACACAGGATGGTGCCAGAGAGCCATGGAGAAATAAGCAAGTGTGTATAATGCCATGCAAGACAGTGTATGTGTGAGTGAAAAATAAAAATAATAAAAGGATGCTGGGTCTTTCTGATTTAAATTCTTTTTTATTTATCTGGAATCCTCCCACTCTGAGAATAAGATCACAGCCAATATATTTCTACTGTCATAAAAGAGGATTCTTAGGTGACACCATGGAAATATATTTATAATACAAAACAAGGGAGAAGTGGGAAGAATGAATTTTGATTTGCATATCACTTAGTGATGATAAAGCTTATTGCTTATATTCACTTTTATTTCTTTTCATATGTTCCCCTCCTCAGGTTCAACATAAGGATGTGCACAATAGCCCATAATACATCTTTGAAGTAGTACAAATGAAACCATTCTGTAAATAGTCTTTCAACACAGGGTGGAGGTGGAATTATCCACTTGTTACCATGTGGATGGAGAAATGCATCCACTTTCTTGACAGCTCTGTGAATATTGCACTTAACAACGCCCAACCCACTCTGCATAAGTTTGATTGGAAGATGCGTTGGCTAAATAATAGAGCCTTTTAAAATTTTAATTCAGACCACTTCAGTTGCATTTACACAGAACAGAGCTCTAGTGTCCTACTGGTGAAAAGCAACCAATTGAAATGTTTTTGCTTGTTTGTATTTTGTATTTTATCAATTATATGTACAATGACAGGAGCCACTCAACAATCCCTGCTGGGCTTCTGGGCTTTCTCCTCCATATTCACAGTAGTTTTTTACCTAATCTTGTACCATATCTAAAGCATTTTTACTCTTAATGCACATATACTTAAACGCTGAAGGAGACTGGACAACAGGTCATATAAACCTTACTCTGCTTCAGTCATTTCTCCCCACAAATCCAAAATGAATAAGGATAAACTAGCATGTAAGATGAAATTGAAATGGTTCTTTTCAATTTTAAAATTAGGTTTGCATATGGGCATGTCCCTAGCAATATTTGGGGGGGACAGAATTGTCACTACCAATATTTGTGTGAAATCGGCACTATGTTTGCAAGAGGCTACTTCTCCAAACAGCCGATGCTAGCATTTGATTGGCTGAAAGGGCAGAGACTATCTGAAGGCTCACGTCATGTGAGAATATCAAAGTGGTACCTAATGTCATACAATGAAGGTTTTTAACTTTTTTTTTTCTATACGATGAAGTTTTTTGACATTTTTATGTCTTGCTATACTATAAAATATTAAGACATTTTTATGCCTTGCTATATTATGACTTTGTAATGGTTTGTCTGGAAATAGTTGAGTGGCACGCTGTTGCAAAGGTTAGAGCTCTGGCCTTGTAATTATGAGTTTAGGAATTTGCATATTCCCCCTGTTAAATGCATATTATTACAATTTATGCCTTCCTATATATTCTTTATAACTTTGTATAACATGAAGTTTCATGCTTTACTATACTATGACGTATTTTCAAATTTTTCTGCCTAACTATATTATGACGTTTTTTTCAAATTTTTATCCCTAACTATACTAAGATGTTTTTTCATATTTTTGTACCTTACTATACTTTGACTTTTTTTTTACATTTGCATGCCTTACAATACTATGACCTATTTTAACGTATCTATGCCTCACTATACTATGACGTTTTTTGACATTTTTTGCCTTGCTATACTATGATATTTTTATGCCTTATGAAGTTTGTTCATATTTTTATGCCTTACTATACAGTGAGTTTTTTGACCTAAATCGACCTAAGGAT